AAACAATAACACTTTCGAATTTTTCTCTATAGCCTGAACTACCCTTTATAACATGAACACAAACTGTTCATCACGATTCTTTCGAACAAAAATAAGACCGCGTGAATAGCTCTTCCACTTTATGGGTCTAAAAAAGCCACATCATTACGCTTTCTATGTCTTTTATAAAAATAAACGATAGATGCTTTTAAGCCCATTTTTGGCAACTTGAAGTACTTTAAAAAGGATTCGGACGGCCACGTCCTCTAAAACATGTAAAACTGTCATCGTTTAAACCACTTCTCTGTATTTTCCAAACCTTGAACACTGAACAAACGCACGAAAGTAAATGATATTTCACTTAGCGAAGGCGTCAAAACTATGAACGAATCATTCGCATCATTCGAATCATTTGTAGAATAATGTGAAGCGCTCCTCTGTGATGTTTGTAATAAGAAGAAAATATATAAAATCTAACTTTTCTTAGCCATTTTATTCATTTTTTCCAATAGATTACCCTTTATTAACTCTTATATATAACACTATGCTACAAACGTCACCATCCATCATCATCCAAGAGTACAACCGAATGTTAGATGAAGCAGCAGCAGAATTTGGCTTCGAAACAACAACGGCAGTAGAGGTATAGGACTTATGCGACGGGCTTCATATGAGAAAACAGCCACAGGGTAAACTCGTACAGACATTTCTTAACGTTTTTTGTAATTTTGTTCGTTGGGGGGGGGGGGGGGGGGGGGGGGGGGGGGGGGGGGGGGGGGGGGGGGGGGGGGNCCCCCCCCCCCGCCCCCCCCCCCCCCCCCCCCATCGTTTTTTCTTCTGAAGCGCAAACTTCTGTAAGAGCCAATACTGCATGGCAGCCGACTCGCCCCACCATTTTATATACGCCATCCAATGTACCTAGTATCCCCACACCAACACTCATCGATTTTCAGTCAATGGAGGCATCAACTGCATTAGGAGTAAAAAACATTTCGGATAGTCCCAATGGTCTAGATTTCATAGTGGACCATACATTATGGGAACATATCACCCCTGAAATCCTGTTTGATCGTATTTCCCAATCCCAAAGAGCCATCCGACGATTGGACCACGAGATCGAGGCCATGCGAAATAAAATAACTACTAAATACTACAATCAGAAATTCCGAAATCCACCAATACTTAAAACTATCGATGGTAGAAAGATGACATTAGCCAACTACTTACAAGTGAACACTCCCTACAGACATATAATAGAGCCGTTCAGCGTACTATCAATTCACTTGCAAAGCAGCAACAAAATGGGCAAACTGTCTTCCGACTAACCGATAAATCCAAAGTCCTACATTTGGACACAGTATCAAACGTTAGTCTAAAATCAGAAGCGTACATGCTGAAAACGAATGCGTACGTCGAGGTACCGGATAATCCTCTCTTCCTCATGCACTCCGAAACTCAAAAACTGCTCAAATCACTTGTTAAGAATAAAAAAAAATTTCATCCACCATTTTCGAAAAAATTAAACCCCCAAAGATATCGAATTACCACACCTGTACTATAACCCAAAGGATCATAAGTTAGGAGAACCGCTTCGACCCATAGTAGCCGGAATAAAACCCCCGCCGCTCCACTTTCCAAGTTCCTTGATCAAACACTTTGCTCCATTTTTGAAAAATACACATCCGATTATAACCTACAAAACACACTTCCTTTTCTCTCCATCCTTGATAAACAACCAATTTACTCCGATACTCTTTTATGTTCTTTCGACATAACCGACCTTTACACCATGATACCGCAGGAAGGTTCCATAGCAGCTACATGCCGAATGCTTACACGCACGGGAAACAGAAAGGTTGTCGACATCGCGATTAACACATTTGCAACCCTTATTCGACATGTGCTCAGAAACTCTTATTTTTGCTACGAGGAAAAATTCTTCAAGCAAACATGGAATCAGTAGTGACACAGGTCCTAGCTTATGCGTACATGGCCGAATGGGAAGCCGACTTTTTGGTGTCACAAAGACAAGCGGAGGAGATGTATGTACGTTTTAGAGATGATATCTTCTTCACTTCCCGTCTTACTGCATTTCAAATCGAACAAAAGCTAGGCATTCTCAAAAACAAAGACACTAGCATCAAGTTGACGTTTGAAATTGGAAAGAGCTGTGCCTACCTCGATGTTTTCATCAAGGCACAGGTTCCACGCGCATCAGCAGCCGTGTACCACAAACCGGTAGTCCAACCATACTTACTACCGTTTGACAGCTCACACCCAATGCATGTCAAGCGAAACATACCTGTGGCGAAACATACATTCATTCGTGCCATCAGGATATGTCTGGACCAAGAGAAGTGTTAGGCGGAATTCACACGAATACGCACGCAACTATTCCTCAACAGGTACCCACCGGTATTTATAGACCAGCAACTCCAGCGTCTCCTCAACGACTTAAAACTCTCCTCTAAGGACGAGCTTTTTCACAAATACCACCTATTCGGACTAGCCTACGGCAGATAGACTGGAGTAAGCAGGACCCGTCAATCAAACAACGGTGTCCCATCAACTGAGATACTGACCTGCTAATACATTTTTCCTACACGCCATCTTTAAACCGTTTCACCACACATTTCAACTTGTAATATTCTTCTCTATATTTCGGGGAGTTATTGTTGTTTGCCTCTTAAATGTATATTTATTTATTTAAAGTCTTTTACTTCTACTCTTTAATGTATACGTCCTGATATCGAGATATGTGTCTATTCTTTTTCTATTAAAGTTTTATTCGTACTTTGCGATGTATGTCAGTTTCTTTTTTTTCCTGTATTTGTACTGATAGGCCCATTGGGCACCAGTTAATCGCAAATAAATAAGTAAATCAGCTGTTGTACAAACAGCCCAGAAAAGCCGATCTCGGGCTATCTGGAAAACGTGTCTAAAAGAGTGAAGACGAGCAGGCGAAAATTGAACAAGTATACCAGTTTGTAGAAAATTGTTTCCTCTACACGATGTGATAACTTTTAAGTTCGAAACTATTCTAATTAATTTGTATTAATCAAAGAAAAGCTGGGAAAACTGGGATACTGTGGCAAAAAACGGTAGAACAACAACATCGACCACAACAAGTACGAAGTAGCGATCAAATCATAATTATATAGTTACGTACAGACTTTTTCAAGAATAACGAAGTACCTATCAGATCGTAATTATATAATTATTGATAAACGAGCTAATTTTGAATACTTGAAAGCTTCATAAGGGTTATACTGGCTGTTTGTACACAGTTGTTATAAAGCTTTCGAGTTTTCAAAATTAGCTCGTTTCAAAACATTGACCACTTTACAAGTATCTAGAAATCGGATATTGATTGATATAATATTAGTCACTAGTTAGTGAATTTTGCGTTCTACTGTAATTAACGCGTCAGTTCGTTATTCTTGAGGAAGTCTGTACGTAATTATATAATTATGATCTGATCGCTACTTCGTACTTGTTGTGGTCGATGTTGTTGTTGTTCTGGGAGATGTCGTCGTAGTAGTGGCAGTCGTTGATGCTGGAAAAAGTCCCATGAAATGAGAAAGTATAAATCATTGTCAGCTAATCAAGGGCGAAAGAAACATGAATTTCAATGGTACCCAGTGGAAAATTTGGAAACACAGACGCAGTTTAAAGCGTTTGCGATCTTTGATTTTTCTTAAAAGCTTGCACTCACACACGTTTTCAACGCTTCTGTAAAAGTTTTCCAGTGGAAGTTATAAGCACTCCTTGAAATAGTCTTATTTCACCCATCAAGTCAAGACGTAGTTGAGAAACATGCGCTTGTGGTTAATCCTGAGGTATAAATTTTTTCCACAAAATCAGAAAAAGCTCAGAAAAAAAAGTTCAAAATCATAAAATAAATAGATCGTTAGGCAAAAGAGAGCAGAAGAGTTATGTAACAATGTGTAACAAAATTGATCATACATCCCTCCTATAAGCTTATGATTAATATTTTCTCCAAAACAGAACAATATGAAAGGCTCGAAGTTTCGCTAAAATGTTGCAAAGTTTTTATAGTTTATTTGCTGAAAATAGGAAGTGCTGATGTCATACAGTCATTGTGGTAGGTCAGAAAGAGTGAAATGGACGACGTTCTCTGTTCAGTAAAATTGACCATACAGTTCGCTTTTTAACATAGTTCACTTTTGTTTTAATTTGACAAAACGAACCTATTTTGTGCAGTTTTTCTCGTTCTTTTGACTCATGATATGTACTTCAGAATTTTCAACTCATGATATGTTCTTCAGAAAAAAGGGGATCGTTAGCTGTATATGGGATTTTTTCGAAATATTTTTAATCTTGTTTGAATATATTATTCACCAATGAAAATGAACTTCTATCATGAATTTTCTTGGTCAACGAAAGTCCTCCATTTCACTCTTCCTGATCTAACACAATGACAGTATAATACATGCAAAATGTGAGCGTTCGTGAGTAGTATCCAGTAGTAGAATATCAAGTAGTGTCGCGTATCGATTTTCGTAAGACAACGAGAGAACGTGTCCAAATGTGACTCCTGGATTTAAATGAAATATACTAGGTCTAGTAGGGTCATTTATGATGATCCCAAATATGACATTTTTTGATGCCACCATTATAGTCTAGTTTTTTCTTTGATAGTCGATAAATATTCTCCCTTCAGTTTACCACAATTTTTGATAGACACATCGAGAAAACTCGTGGTATATAGAGTTTTGTAGAAGAACTCTTCAGCTACAATCTGATATGTTTTGACTTAACTTTCATACTTATCTTGTTTAAGAAAAGTATGTTTTAGTGAATATACGTCTTTTTATTATATAACAAGCTCTTTTCACCTCGATACCTCAGCGAGAAAAAAGAACAAACATATTCTAATAAATCGTACTTGTACAGAATTAAAAATACTTTTTCTTAGTATATTTCTCGGTACTTTAGTGTTTGTTGTGCTTAGAAAGCTCAACCAATCAAGAGAGTATCTTAGATAATTTTGATTGTATTTATTTAATTGACAATACTTTGTCTGGTTCACCCTTGTACAATTTGAATAAAACTTTAATCCAATCGTATGTTTCAATGCAAATATCGTACATATCGGTCGCTTTTTGTCTATCGCAATAGAGTGATTCGTCCACGACAAACAAGTCAATTAAATAAATATTTTTTTCCCATTCGAGAAGAAGATGATTTGGTATATGTGTTGTGTGACTACTTTGTCGTAAATAGGCGATGACGGATGAAAAATTTGGAAAACTTTTTCCATCTTGACTTAAATGAGCGGCAGCCCACATAAGACCTTTAGTAATTAAAACCATTGATAAACGAGCTAGAGTTGTTGTTTGAATCAATACAATATCGCTGGGGCTTTTACCATAATTATTCGTATTGTGATGTTGACAAAATTCACGTTCCTCTTCGACGATCGATGTTGGAGATCTTTTGATTCCGAGAAGTTTGGCTTGTTCAGTCAAGTCATTCAAATACTCTTCGATATTAGAAACAATATCATTTCGAGCATCTAAATTTTCAAGCCAACCTATATCAGCTAATGTTTTCTGTTCTTCTTTTGCTAATGTTTCGTCGGATGGTGGTGGTTTGTCAGCAGACGCTTGTTCGACATCCGATTGAAACTGGTCAATTTGCCCTTGTCGAGCTTCTCGACGACTTTCAAATAGCGCCTGAAGGGCTGCATCCCGTGGAGTGATACTGTCTGCATTCGTGGCGTAGTTCGAATTCATGATGAATTTCTGTGTTCAACAAGCCTAAAGAATCTAAAAGAACGAAGTGATGCACTACTATAGTAATGTGAAACGTTACAGTCGGTCATTTCAGGGTTATACAACATTTTCTAGAAGGATTTTATCGGACTTAATGCATTTTTTCTTTTTGAAGACCTCCATCAGCAACAAATATCCCCGCACATCCTAGTCTCGTCCGAAGAAAACCGTGAAAGATAACTAAGCCCCTTCAAACTCCATGGGGAGTCCCCAAAACGTATACAGATTATGTACTCCCTATAGGAACTCACCAACATGTGCAGTTCCCGGGGAGTTCCTGCTAACTCCCCATTCACTTTTGTTTTGCAGACAGGCAATATATAAATATAATATAGTTCTATGATAAAATTTTACGAATTTTCTTCCAGTAAGTTATCACTAATGTGTCAACCTTTGTTGGTTGATATGTGTTACACTGGTATCAGTAATGGTATCTGACACTTAATTACTAATTAGCTATATGAAACTAAAAAAGACTGACCAGTAGACTTGCAGGGGGTCCCCTGAAAATCCCGTTACGGAGTCTCAGGGATTTTCTCGGAAAAGTCGACTAGGGCAGGTTGCAATATCTACTGCTAACTGCTTAAAAATATTTTAAATCTTTTCTTTATTTTAAAAGAAACCTAAGAGACGGTTTTTATATTCTAGATAAGATTTTATTAAATGATTTCCACTAGAGGATTTTGACAAAATATCTTAGTTTTGTGAAATATGCTTTTGACTTAATTTGATATCACATTATATCAGAAAGAAGATTTTCTTGTGGATATATTTTTTCATGAAATTCTTGCTGATATAGCAATGTATAACATTTTTATATACGTAAAGATTTTTTATAGATAAACATAAACAAATTATGATGTTCGTCGCTGCCTTTACTTGAGAAAGGAAAAATAGTTGTTAATTTATTCTGGCTATATTGTACCATAGAGGTGTCATGCGTCCTTTTCCTCTCTTTCTCTATGTATCGGTTCTGTTTGTCAAGACACATCATCTAGTACGCAATGGATTAAGCATCGTCTCAGAATGTGACAAAGTCTCAACCATTACTGTTTTTCAGTTTGAAAGATCCATTTTCATTTCTCCGTCGGAGAGAAAAAAAGGAAAGTATTCTGACTAAATTACCCCTGCAATATTATAAATTGAAATTCGATAAATTTTTATAAGATTTTTGTCGCTTTAAACAATCAATGGTATCTCCAAAAAAGCGTAGAAAATAGAATTTTGTTCTAATTATATCTCAAGAATTACTAGAAAAAATTGCCTGTATGAGATACGGAAAAAGATACTGAAGTAAATGATTAGTTATCAATAGACCGTAGCAAATAAGTAATGTTAACATTGCTTATTTGCTACGGCTCTAATCTAGGGATTCGTGTAAAAAAGTGTTCCTTGCTAGCAGGTTTTTCCATCAGAACACAAAAACATGCTTTTTTACGGTGATTCTTACCTCTTTTGTGTTGTATATAGTCGTTATTCTTTCATATATAACCGAAAATACAAAAGCTCTTTTTCCAACAGCCGTAGTCCACAAGTGAGACATTTCTTTTCTTCTCTGGCAAAAGCAGACGTGTTATATGTGCAGCGTCCAGAGAAGAATAAGCGACGAATCTTTTCTACATAATACAGTGACAGAAAATACATATATTTGTTCGTTTGATTATACGATAGAGTACAATACATATCTATGTTTTTTTCCACACAATGCTTTTTTTCCATTACTGATCAAAGAAAAAGAACATAACAAAGTTGAAAGTACATCAGTGTGACAGAGAGTCAGGAATGGCAGACGCATTGTAATCAGACGTGTGCGCCGATAAAAAAATTTCGGCGGCGGCGGCGAATAAAATTTTTCCGTAGTTAGCGACGACAGCGCGAGGTTATGAAAATTTCCTCCGCCTTCGGCGGCGACGTCTGGAAATTGGTTATCGGCGGCGAATCTCATAATTAAAGTAAAACAACGTTCTCTTTCATTTCTGACACGTTCTTTGCGCACCAACTGTATCTGTACGTTGCCGTGTACGAAAAGATAGAAACACGCTGTAATTTTAACGGCATGGCGGCGGAAGTCGGAATAGTTTTTCTCCGCTGTCAACGGCGGCGACGGAAGTCGCAACAATTTTTCTCCGCCTTCAACGGCGGCGCACATCTCTGATTGTAATGCTTCTAATACGCTAGAAGGTGTCTTATTGCATTAGGTGACTGTTAGGATGTTGGATAAAGATGATCTATACGAAGCATTTACTTCTGCTCTTGATTTCATTCGGTCGTCTAAAAGATTCTAGACTTAATGTTTTAATGTTTGTTTAGTAATCATTTGGAGTGGGTTTTGTTCGTTTATCAATTCTTTTTTCCACATTGATCTCTTCTTTCTCTCTCTCTATTCAGACGCAATTTTCAAATGGAGTGCAGGGTCATCTATGCTACTTTTGAAATGGCGGCCCGATTACGTTCTTTGCGATACAGATGTGAAAAATTCTAGAATTTTTTCCTCCACGCTCGCCGCTATTAGTTTCTGTTTAACATACTTTTACACTGTTCTACATAATTTGTTAAAATAAGTTTTCTGCACTTGAAGCGAGTCCCATCAGAGATACTTACCAACGCTTTTTCATCATACTGCAAGTCCGTAATCATGACAAAAAATTTCTCCCCATAGATATCTACTCTATACACAATTGTAGGTTCAACTATAAATTTGCAGAACAACATTTTTACCTTTATGAAGTTCAACTCCATCTGAATTAATTACTAATGTCAAGTAATTGTCCGAAGCAGAATTTAAAAATTGTCCATGATCTGTATGTTAATGAGTATATAATAGCTTCCCACGTGTACCCATAAGACTCTCTCAGAATCTTAAATACAGTCTATTCATCTCATATTTTAGAGCTGAGCATAAATCTTATGTTAAACTTTGGTTTTGAAGTAACTTGTTCCTGAAACCATTTACAAAAACTTTGTACAGACGCCTTCAGAATGATGCCTCTCGAGAATGTCATTAGGTCGATGACCACTTTGGCCCACTTTTTTTTTAATCGAAACTAGTGCATTTTGTAGAGGGAGTGACAGCGCAGTTTCTGAGAACGTTTAAGTCTTGTTCATTGCGGTATGTGAGAGAAAGAGGTATTGCACTGGAACCATGTCTGAGGGTTTATATAAAAAACTGATGGCAATGGAGTTGGAAAATCCTATATCTCTTTAGAAGAAAGACGATGAGTATCGATCATCGACATGCATTTTAAAGA